AATAAAAATTAAACGGCCAAAAGACAAAGAGCAGCCAAAACAGTGACAAATAGATCTAGCCTAGGTTACCAAAACAGGAAAAAAGTACCCTTCCCAGAGTCAAACTTCCGAAAGTGTAAAAGTTAGGACCGCGGTAGCGTAACAGTGAGGTAAATTTCCGAGCTTTCCCTCTTTCTGAAGTGTGACACTGGGAAGCGTATATATATATATATATACACACACAAATATATATATATATATATATATATATATATATATATATATATATACAAACTGCCAAACAAAATGTATTGTATTGATCAATAATAAATGATCAAGAATAAATAATAAACATAGCAATCGGCCAAGTGTTCAAACTATTTGCATCCGTCATTCATACGCGCCTCTTTACACGAAAAAGAATTATTATTGTTACTGATTAAAAAAAAAAAAACTATAATAAATGTATTAAAACAAAAATGATGAAAATAAAATATTAAAAATGAATTCTCGTATTAAATGGCTCCTATAACGACTATTATAATCGTGGTAATACTGGTATAATACTTACCGTATACCTATTTCTGCATCCCATATATATATATATATATATATATATATATATATATATATATATGGGGGATTGTGTGCGAACACGCGTGCGTGCGTGTCTGTATCCCATCTTTTATTGAAAGAAGCGAACATACTGATATGACATATCTTTAACTGTAATGTCCCCGAACGAGTCTATATAATAACCAACCAAACAATTTTCTCAATGGACCTCCTGCTTTGAGTGACATGGAAATCGTCATATATAACGATTTCCTGCTTTTTCATTCGTATTGACTGTGCAGTACATTTATTTCGTAATCTCTGCCAGTCTGACTGACTTGAAATCCGAGCATCGTACAAATGGACAATATTTAATTTCAATAATGTCTTAACACTCCATGTGTGGATAAAGTCTAGCGAATGGGCTGTAAATGATTGCGAACCGCCTTCGCTGTGCAAAGATTGTTCATATTTCTGGCGAAAATCCAGTGGCAGTTCCTTAGAAAATGGGAATACCGTGATTCCTAATTAATATAATGGTTGACCACTCGTATTCGAGTATGTAAGTCAGCTGGAACGGCAAGGCAATCTTCTTTGCCGACGCCTGCTCAGAAACATTCGTGTCTGTTCAACACGATGCAGAGCAGACCTTAGAGTTTCCGGGAGAGACAGTTTCAACAAGGCCATTGTGGTCCACCCCACGATCAGGATGACTGATTAATTAATGCCGGCATAACCAGCGACGAGCAATTCCTTCTACACAAGTTTGCACAAAATGCTTGGGTAGGTTAACCTGAGGTATTGTTCTCAGGCAATTACCAAAGGTACCGCAATGTGTGGTCGCCTACTCAGCCCTATAACGTGTAAAGTCAAAGCGATCAAAGTGATATTCGTACCCATGTCTCTGGTCGGAAAGCTACCATTTTAACAAGACGTACAGGGCTACTGAGTGTGAAATTATTTAGGAAACCGAAAAACACTATAAAGGAGTAAGCGCAGTAAAAACACTTAAATTAAGAAGACAGACGATAACGATATACATTGAACTTACATTTTTGAAGCTAAAAGTGGATTGTAAATCAAGAAGCTGGAAGAGAGTTCCACAAGTGAGACGGGCGATAGAAGAAGCTCTTAGCATAGAATTTATGGTTAAATCAAGCCATTTCATCTGCAAAATGACGAGGCGTCGCTGCCAATCTTGTATTGCGGTTAAGTTTATAGAGATCTAGGTACCATCGAGCAGCTTTCTTCAGAACAATTACCATGAAAATATTTACAGAAAAGTCACAGGAAAGCTACATAGGGCGGTGTAAAAGTAACTCAAGCTGATATGCCAGATTAGGTCATACAACATTACAGATTCTTCCTTGAATGTTATGAAGAAACTCTAAATATATAGCTGGAGCACCGGACCATATGTGGCAGAAATATTCAAAGCATGGACAAATGAAAGACATAGATAAATATGTCAGATGTCTGATGCGAAAAAAAAAAACTGTCTCTCACGACACAGCGAGCCAAATTTTGCAGCAGCAGACCTCATTATGTCAGCGGAAAATGTTAGAACGAGAAGGTAGGCATCAGTCATTATAATAGAAGGCAGAAAGTGTTCTCTCGGACGATTAATATAGATCATTTTCCTTCTGAAAACTTTAAAATTAATAAGCCATTACTTGCCACCGTTAACAACAGAATATAGGTCATTTGGTGGATCAGTTGCCAATTTGACCTCATCGCCTCTTGCCATCAATATCTTCTGAGAGTGTTAAATTCCTCAAGTAATATTTTTCCTTATGCGTCCCGAAAATCTCTACTCGCTTTCCGATTCTATGTGGAAGTGTCCTTTTTGATTCCATTTTCATTCAATTTTCTTTGTTCCCACATGATCTTTCCCTGACAATCTCAGACTTTTTCTTTTGTGTTTTCTTTATCCAAAGATAATTATTTTTCAATATAAATAATGGCGCAGCCACTCGTATCCGGGGACGAGGATGCCAGTCTACTAGGGCGATTAGCTAATCCCCATTGCAGGTGCCTGCTCTGGCATATTTGTGTTTGTTCAACAGCCACAGAGCCCACATTTAGTTTATACTCCAACTATGCTGAGCGGACCTTAGTTATAGTATTTGGCTTGATCAATTCTCACAATGCTATCACTCTCAAACCCTCAGTCACGATGACTTGTAACTTCGTGCTAGCTCAACCACCGACGGCTCCGAAAGTTTATGTCTACCCAATTTCACTCATAAGGCTTGGGTCATCCCGTGGTATATTTTTCAGGCATTTACCTAAGGTGTCGTTAATTACAATGCCCCGTTCATGGTATTCTCAAAATTCTTTTTTTAAAACCGCAGTTCTCTTGCCTCAAGTCTTCTCTTCATCTGTGAAGAGTTGCTTGCTAAACATGTTTTTCTTTTTTTTTAAACAGTGAAATTAATATATGTCAGCGCAGAGATCGAATGCTTAAAGATAAATATGGGCACAGGTTACATACTTCATGAGAGTATGAGTATTTCGTTGAAAAAGACTTTCGACCTCTAGGCAAGTATGCATAAATTTCACTATATTCAAAAACTACCCACGCGCAAACACACACACACTTACAGATATATATATATATATATATATATATATACACATTTCATTGAATGCGACAGACAAGGTTTTTAGGTTTTTTTTTAATTTTTCATTCCTCTATCTCTCTCGTACACCTCTCTCCATCTATCTATTTATCTGCACACACACACACACACACACACACACACATATATATATAATTAGTAGCAAACCAAAATATCCAATTTTACCCCATGAAGTTTAAATCTATTTCAACCGACGAAAACTTCGTCAATCTTATTCAACCCCGGTATGTATACCTGGGTTGAATAAGACTGACGAAGTTTTCGTCGGTTAAAAGAGATCTATACCTCATATGTGGTAATATTGGAATTTTTGGTTTACTTCTATTTATTTGCTCTCTATAATAAAAAAAAGAACAGCGAGCTCATTTCTGGATCAGTTTTCATATTTATATTACGAGGATCCCCATGGATTATATAACAAGTGATTTATTACCTTGACAATATATATATATATATATATATATATTTATATAGGTTTGAAACGGTACAAAAGCGTATTAAGGCATTAAAAACAAGAAATGTTGTATTGTAGGCCATGATAAGTTTAAAATAAAAACACACAGTCGACCGGTTTCGTCCCCTCTCGTCAGAACTGTTAACGGGAATTTAAATTATGAGGAAAAGAAAAAAGTCTGTCATGGGTGACATGAATGAATGGACAGGGAAGAAAGGAAAAAAAATTAAAATTATACCAACCAAGCTGCTAGAAGCGCAGAACAGCAAGTCCAAGCAAACAATCTCTTTGTTTGCAAAGAGCAGGTTGCCTGGACCTGATGTAAGGCGACTCCAACACCTTAAGATGGAAAAGTGAGTGCGAACTGGCCAAGACGGAAAACTAGTTCACACTGAAATCCATCGCGCGTTGGATTCTTTATAAAATGATCCGCAATCGAAGACCCATACGTGTTACGAATGGTATCGCCCAAAGAAAATTTTTTGTTTAGTATTATCGCAGGTACGTGTTGTTTAATTCTCACGTCCAACCGCTGTATCGTTCTACCTATGTAGTCGCATCCACAACTACATTTGAAATAGTAAATAACAGAGTTAATATGGTGTGGGGGGGGTAGAACATCTTTACACATAGATGAAAGTACGGAATTTTGATTACGAGGATAGATGGAAAGGACAAACCATAAACGCCGTTTGGTTTCAGTAATAAAAAAAAAGAATGAGAAGTTAGAGGAGACTAGAAGAGACAGGATATATTGACGGTAAGAGGGACGGAAACATGCAACGAGTAACCTACCGAACGAGCTTTCAGAAGAAGAAGTGAGAATGATAGTTAAAAAACAAACATTTCTAAGAGCTACAAAAAGTAAGAAGTTGTGGAGGTCCATGATCGCTCACGTCGTAAAGAGATACGGTACATAAAAATCTCAACTTAACAATAACATCTGGGATAAATAGTGGATTATGTTAAAAAAATACCTATTTTTCTTCTTTTTTTTTTTTTTGCAAAATAAATGATTCTTACATAAACAGTCTTCACACATACTGATATATCTCCGTAATACTTCCCGAATCGCGACATTTTGGAAATCATTCGGATAAATCTGTGGCCTGGAGTCGGTTTTCCAAGACCTGGAAACAATGTATCATTTTAAAACTCTTTTTCAAACTGACAGCGTCATTGCAAGTACTTGACTCATCCGTCACGAAACACGAAAATAAATATCCTGCCGTGTTTCCTTGGAGCCGTATAACAGCGCCGGTTGATGTCAGGCGAGACAAAGCGAACGAACACACAAAAGTCGCTTTGTCGCAGTCAACGATTTGTTTTATGGCGTCTATTTTGTCTATCGACTAGCGGCAAACGTTTAATCACGGCCATTGGTCCTGACCACTTGGATGTTTGCGCTTGCAATGTGAAATAAAGTGGTCGAGTTTAGAATCCGATGAGAAGCTGCAAGAGAGAAAGAAGGAGAAAAATAAGAGATAGGTATGATCAGATGTAAGGAGGAAATAAATGACTATAAAGAAAGACAGAAATGAGACGAAAGGCAAGGGAGATTTGAGAATTAAACAATGAGAAAATAAGGGGGAAAAAGAAAAGTGGGAAGAAACATAGTAAGAGATGATGGCGATAGGAACGAAGAAAAAGATTAATGAAAGAAAAAAGGGAAAGATATGGTGATGCAGAGTAGGTAATTTGAACAGAAAAATAGAAAAGAAATAATATAGATATTCTTTAAGAAAAAAGTCGTAAGTTGAATATACACTATAGTTCAAAAGCTTCAAGCCACCTCAGAATTAACATGGGATGAACTTGACAGAAAAATAAAAAAATAAAAAAAATTAAAAATAAAAAAAATCTTAGATTCATTGAAAAAATGAAATCAATTATCAAACTTATAATTTGAGAAAATTTTGCAATGAATGCCAAAACTTTGTGCTGCAGTAATCAAGGCTAAAGGAAGATTGTCTGACGAGAGCAAAATTTAATCATAAAATGCTTTGTTTTTTCTTTTTGTCATGAAATCTCGAATACAAATCATGTCAGACTTTTTTACAATGTATAATAATTTTTTCTTATTTAAAGTACAAAACATCTACTTTTTGAGCCATGTTAAAAAATTATCAGGAGTGGTCTCAAAATTTTGAACTGTTGTGTATATGAATTTAACTCAGGATAAGCCTGGCTGACATTGATTCATACATAGTCCTGTAGACCGTCTCTACCCTGAATATTGGCAGAATTAAGAGAAACAGACAGCTAAGCCTATAATCCGGTTCACATTCTCCCTGGTCTTTTGAGCAGAAGTAAAGGTTCATTCCTAGTTTCCAGTTTAGGATTGGGATTCCGGTTTCTTCTAAAGTCTACATCAAATATTTAAATTAAAGTTTATAAAGCCTAATATAGTTTTGCACAAGACTGTCAATAGTGTCTCCGCGTCCGACGACAAATCATTTTCCACCTTACAACCTCTTTCTCACAGACGAAACGTCGCTAGACACTCACTGCTCTATCGCTGTTTCCATGGGAAGTGCTCAGACGAACTACATTCCTCAGTTCAACCAGTTCTAACCTTCATGGCTAAGACCCACCATGACACGTACAGCAAAACACTATTATTCCCTTCGTATTCAATTGGTGAGATGTAAGTTTCACTTGAACAGATTCTTCCCGCGAACCGTTGCTTTGTGGAAACGACTTCCAAGAGGGTGTTTTCCTAAAATCTTTACCTGTTCAAGTTCAAGTATATCTTCCACACCTATTCGCATAAACTCTACCTCTTACTCTGTAACCGTCTATCTTGAGTGGCACCAAGATTTTGTACAGGGTGAACATCATTGTAAAAACTACTTCTAACATGTCCGCCGGAACTCGGAATTTTTTTTTTTTTTTTGCTTTTCATTTTATTTTTTCTTCTCAGTAAAAGTAGATAGGTTTAGTTTTCGTTGAATTCACATTCCTTCCTGGTTTTTTGGACATTATTTAAGCTTATCTATTTTTCCCTATTTAGTATTGGGTTTTCAAGTCATTCTAAAGTTTTTCATTCTCTTCCACTTCCAACAGGCTTTTGCATTGTAGTGACAGTATCGCCTTGCTTGGAATGAATTGATTAAAAAATGAACGAAATGTTCTCAAATCTGTACATTGTTCTGAGACCCCCCCTTAAATGTTTTGTCCTTTTCAGATAATACAGGTAAATTCCCACGGATTTATCTTTATCTGTGAATTGCCAACCATTCTTGGGAAAGATAGTGAAGTAGTTTTTCGTTGCTTTCTCCAAGGTTTAGATTTTAGTTTTCATTGTCATCATAATCATTCGACTGAAGACGGGAACATCGAACCAATGAGAACGATCCTTTCATTAGCTGTATAGCATGTGCTATGCCAGGGCTACATTTGAATTCAGAGTTACTTTATCTTAGACCGGTTGCCATCTAAGGCTATAGAACCCAGTCTGTCTATTTACCCATAGCTCTAGGAGAAGAACAGGATTCATACATTTCCAAAGAGTATTAGTACGTAAGTGAAAGTAATGGATTCGGCTGGAATTCGAACTCGGCTCTCCGATTCCGCAATCATTCATTTTCTAACACTGATTGCCATTCAAGAGAAGAGAGCCTAGTTTAGACATTTTTTTATAATCATTTCACCCAATATAAGGCGGTAATGCTACTATAAAGCAAGAGATTACTGGGGCCGAAAAAATGAGAAGTCTTTAGAAGAAGGAACTGGAAACACACCCAATGCTAAATATGAAACAAGGGATAAACCTCTACCCTTAGTCAAAAAACAGGAAAGCTTTGTGAATCGGGTAATAGGCCAACCTATTTTTATTTAACCCGTAACTGGTAGGCGAGGATACAGATTCATGTATTTCACAAGGTTGAAAAAACGAACGTACTATTCATGCTTGGAATATGACCTCGGCTCAACAAATCCACTTTTCGCGCCCACATCCGTTACACTAATCATAGATTCACCGATTCTTAAATCTAAATATCAATGCACTGGGCGCTGTGATCTCAAGGACACGTGGCCCAGTAGAAAAAAGTGTTGGTTGGATCCATTGACTTGACCCAATGGGTTGTGAGTTCAATACCCGGCTACTGCAGAGGTGAAGTCATATATAGTTGCGTTTAAAGGAAATAACAGAGACACCGGGAAGAGGCATGACGCGTGGAATTAGAATAATCTACTCAGGTGGATGAAATAAAGGGTTCTTTTAAAATTCCAATCACCTGACATAAACCGGACTGTACAACAGCCGAAACGTCGTGAATATATCAAGAAACATGCAAGAAAGAACACTCCGGACAATGTAAATAATCAATGCGGAATGTCAACAGGGAATGAATATTCATGCCTCTTCTTTTATATGACGTCTCTTTTAGGAGGTGGCCGACCTTTCTATTCTCTTTGGCTTTAAGTAACAGTTATCCTTTTACCTTCCCTCCCACACTCTGTTTCAAGATCCATTGATGCAGTCTAGTCGAATAGGCGGTTTGCTGTCTTACTTTGTCCCTTTTGCCATCTTGTGGGTGTCAAATTCCCCGAGTCGTCCTTCTTCATTATGGGCTTACGGCTATACCACGTTGAGACATCGTTTCTCTTACGATCACCGAAGTTAAACAACGTCGTGTCGGGACCGTGCTTAAAAGGCTAACCGCCTAGGAATACCAAATGCTGTTGTCTTGGATGTGCGGGTTGTGTAAGGGATAAGGGTCCGAAATTGGGGAAGCGGAGAGCCGAGTTCGAATTCCATTCGAATCCATTACATTCACTTACGTGCTAATACCCTTGGGAATACTCTACTTCTCCCCTCCACCAGCTATGGGTAAACAGCAGGACAGACCAGGTTCTATAGCCTTGGATGGCAACTGGTTTACCGCAGAACGAAATGGCAACCTACTGCGGGAAAAAAGATCTGCCTCGTCAGTCATGTATCGAAAGATACATGTTCACCTAAGCGTGTATCACGCATGTTACATAACTGACTGACTGACTGTATCAGTAAATCCTTATCATCTCCCCAAAATTCTTAAAATCTAAAAATATTTTACGGCTTTAAATAACAAGCAAAAGGTTGATAACCCGTAAAAACCAAAGCAATCAATACATTTTCTTTTAGAGTTTTTCATTGCTTATGCGCTCCGGCCACGGTATCTTCAGCATTCTCCTATAGAATCCCATCCCTTTTGCATAATGACTTATCTTTATCTGTAACATATATGTTGATTGGTATTACATACGATTTCATTCACTCATTTTTCTGCGCTTCTGTTTTTTTTCTTACTTTTCTTAGCTTTTTGGAAGGTACCTTCTACCCTTGCAATGGGTGTTACGTATAGTTATGGCAACAGCAGTAAGAATACATGAACCACTTCAAGAATGAGGAAACATCTTCAGATAAAATTCAGGAAAGATAAAGATGAAGACTTAAGAACCGTTTTCCTCGTATAAATAAATATTCAGCCTAGGTAAATCCAATAAGTATCGTCAACGAAGTGATTTCTAATCGATAAAGCTGCCAGTATTTCCTTTCAAGCGATTCAGTGAACGAACGGGATCAACAAATGCCCTGACACTCGACCCAACCTGTCTCAACATTCGGCTGATCTGATGAACTCTAGTTTATTTCGTTTGCTATAAAACACGCAATGATTTCGAAGATGGGTGTGATAACTCGAATTCTGCTTCACGATATGGCAGACATGTACGTTTACATAACCTTAAATAAAACTGTATACAATGGCTTTGAGAAATTAAGAAGCAACACGTTTAGATCATAATAATGCCCAGTGTGAATCCTACATATTTCTGTACCGGATTACTGGTTGGAGATACAACCTTGTTTGTCGGTGCCATTTTCGCGATATAGTGGTTACCATATAAAATAAATTATTATTATATATATATTAAATATAGCAATCGCTTAAGTATGAGTACAGGACTATTTTCCCAATTTATAAATTTTGACACTCTTCGACACAAAAATCCGAGTAAGCGCCAACTAATAAGCCAGTTTTGAAGAGAATTGACATTTTTCAGTTATTATATCATTTTTTTTCAGTTAATATATCATTTATTCAGTTATTATATCACTTTTTCAGATATTATATCACTGTTTTTAATGATTATTATCATGGATTTGGATAGACAATTCTAATGGTAAAAAATAAAAAGAAAAAAAAACTGAATGCCATTTTCATTACAGTTCAGTCAAATCTTCCGGTAGATTACCTCAAAAAACAGGGATAAACGCACTGAAAAATGTTTTTTTTATGAAAATAGGATTATAAGTATGTTTTTATTTAATGATTGCTGAAAAGATAATACTAACCAGAATATTAGTCATAACAAAAGTCATTGTAATTAGTCATATTTACCTCAGATTTCATTCATATATGGAGCGTGGCTAAAAAGGTCCCTTAAAATATTTGGGATGCATCTTCACACATGGGCCAGGTGGATGATCATCAACAACTAAAATATTCTTTTAGAAGAGTTATGTATTTTAACTCCTAATTTCTAAACTTTATATTTATTGTATTTTAACTTGAATTATTTTTTATATGACTAAATAATATCATGATATCAACAACAACAACAACAACAATAATAATAATAATAATACAATGAAGTAGAAATAAAAAAAAAAGTGTCACCTGAGGATATCAATGTTTTCTATTGTATTTTGAGCCCTCAGATTGATTGGAAACTGACGAGATTCCT